TGGCTCTTTGCCGGCTCTCCGGCCTCTATCTTGGTCCAGGTTGGCCCCTGATCTTTCTTCTGTCTGGTCGGCGTCATCCTCAACTAGAAGGAGCGGACCTGTCTGATTATCCAGCATTCGGTCGTCCCTTGAATTGAGGTGAGCCTGCTCGGCTCTCATACTTGGGTTAATCTCGGCTCCCGCGGTGACCGGGTCGGCATTTGTCTCAGACAAAGAAGGCGATCCTATCTGGTTTCCCAGCATGCGGTTGCCCCTTGTTCCATCAGACGCCGGCTCGGTGCTTCCGTCGAGGATGGTCTGCGAATGTTCCTGGGCAGCTGTCATCTCGGCATTCGAGATGGGGTCAACGGTATTTATCTCCGAACGCGGAATGGTTAGAACGCAATTCCGTGCTCCTCTCTGGTCTCCTCGGTGTGTTCCCTCCCCGTCTGAGGTCGGGAACTTGATGGAATAGTGAAAGATGGAGACAACGCCTCTCAATTTGTAAAGCGCCATTCTGTCCAAGATGACATTGTACTCGCTTTGGCAGTCCACAATTTTGAAGGTCTCGAGGATGGTCCTCGTGGGCTGCCTCTTTTCTCCGAACCGGATCGGCAGTGTGACCTGACCGACTGGGGTGGTTGTTTGTCCATTGAAGCCTTGGATTTGTTCTCGACACGTTTGCATGTCCTTTGCGTCTATCCCTATCTTCTTGAAGGTGTTGTAGTAGAGGATGCTTGCGTATGCCCCGGTGTCGACCATGATGCGATGGATCTTAATTGCCATGATCGGCGCCGTGATCACCAAAGCGTCGGAGTGGGGGTGGTCAAACAGGAAAGCATCCTCGTCGGTGAGGAGATTTTGTTGGGAGTTGGCTCAGGTGTCGGTCTGCTCCCGGCGTGCATCACCCTCTGCCCGGCATAATAGGCCTGCTGGGCATAAGCCTTAGTCTGTCTCCTCGACAGGAGGGATTCACCTCGGCTAGTGTTCACGCGCCGAGGTGAGAGGTAAACCTGATCGGCCCCTGACGGTGGGGACCGATTTCTTTTTCTGTCCCTGGAGGTGCCAGCCTCGTTTTGATGAGCCGAGCTGAGTGTTAATATCTCGTTACGGCCGCCCTGTTGCGACTTCTTCCTCCTAGGGTTCACGTCGGCATCTTCCTCACTGTCGAGACCGTCCTCGAAATGGCCTCCCTTCTTCCTTTTCTCCTCGGAGTGGGTAAACTTTTTGATCTGTGGGTCGTCAATCAACTTGAACAGCGCCGAGATTAAGTTGCGGCACTGATCGGTATTGTGCCCATGCTCTTTGTGGTAGGTGAAGTATCGGGATTTATCCACCTTGTCTTTATCGGTGACCATCGGCTTCGGGTCCGGCAACAACCCCTTGGCCTTGATCTCTTCGTAGACCGCAGCGGCACCTACCGAAAAGATACCTTGATAGCTCTCCTTGAGATCCTCTGCTTTCTGCCTCCTCAAGGCTCTGACCTCAACAAACGACTTCCCTGATTTTCCTGATTTTTCTTCCTTCGCCTTGCCTTTGCTCGATGCGGCGTCGAGCACTGGGATCGACAAGGATTCTTCGACCATGATGTAATTTTGGGCGTGGATAAGGAACTCTTGGTATGTGGTTGGCTTGTTTTGGCAAAGTGACCATTCGAACAAAGTCTTCGGCCTCAGGCCGGCCTGCACCGAGATCAGTAGCGCCTCTGGGTGGCACTGTTCCATGTTTTGGACTCGGTCGTTGAACCGAGCGATGTAGTCTTTCAAGCCCTCGTCCTCACCTTGGACGATATTGGCGATGGATTTCTTGGGGGCGAGGTTGATCTACGACCCGATGAAGTGTGACTGGAACGCCGACTTGTGCTGCCCCCATGTGGAGATGGAGTAAGGGTATAAGGAGTGGTACCACCTCTGCGCCTTTGGCCCCAGTGTTAGAGAGAACATGCGACAGCGTAGAGAGTCAGTAGCGCCGTGCAGGTCCATCCATGAAGTGTAGAGGCCGATGTGGGAGTCCGAGTCCGAGCTCCTATCATAGAGTCCGAGCTGAGGGACTTTGATTTTTTGGGGGACGGGCTCATGCAAGATGTCAGGGGAGAGAGGCGAGGCATGATCCACGACCCGATGAGTCGGTCGTGAGAAGGGAGGAGGTTGAAAGAGCGGAGGCGACGGTTCGCTCTGAGAGTGGTGCCGGCCCTCCAGTTCGGCAATCTGCGCTTAAGGGCCGCGACTTCGTCTGTGTCGCGTCCAATGGTTTTCCCCACTCGATGACCTCCCTGAGGTCCCGATTAGCCTTACTTTTGTTGCCTAGACGCTGATAAATGGAGCGGCGAATAACCTGCAGGCTCCGGTCTGGCTGGCTTTCGCCGGTCTGTTCGGTGGGTGGCGCCGGTCCTGCACCCTTCTCGCGCAGTTCCAGGGTGGCACGGTTGGGTGACTGGGCCGTCGTCCTGGATTTTCGGGTTTTTTCTTCTATTGTCCCTCCGCCTCCTTGGCGGGGGTTTGAAGCAGTGTGTTGCCGGGGTTTTCCGTGGCTGGCACGGTGTTGCCCCCAGCCGCCGCGGTGTTCCCCCCGGTCGTCTGACCGGCGAGCGCCCTTGCGAAGACCTCCTCGAGGGCCTTGAGGACGTCGGGATGTTGCATGGCCGCAGCGAAAGTCGGGACTAGAGGATCAGGGGCTTGAGTCCCCTGTTGGACACGGCGAGAGGTTTCCTCGCCGTTGCGCCGGCGAGACTTGGCGTCGGACTGCTATGTTGACTCGTCACGAGTGGATGAAGTCATCTTGGGTTAAGTTTCGGAGCGGAAATGATTAGAAACGGAAGAAACATGATGTAGTGTTAATCACAAGGTCGAAAAGTCGACACCAAGTAACTTATGGTGCCCTTCCTCTAGCGCCAAACTATTGACGAGCGTTTTCGGTCAATGGCTAAAATGATAAATACTAAAAGTGCAGGATCGAAAACAAAGGAAATATATCGATTATTTATGATTTTATTAAACGATCGCGAGGTCGGCCTCTCGTACGAGGTCGGCACTTACGATATCTGTACAATCCTTACAGGGTTTCCTTACAATTTCTAGAGAGAGAAAGTAGAGAGAATCTGGAGTTAGTTGAGGATTCAACAACCCAAAATAAATGAACTGAGTTGCTATTTATAGTATCCTTAAATGGGGTACTGTTCTG